TCAGAGAGATCTTGTTTCTGAGGCTGGGCTTCTTAGGTCTTCAATGTCTTTTTTTTTAGCTCAAATTACTCAAAATTCCAAAGTACCATACTTTGGGGTGTTATTTTCTGAACCCCAACATTCCTCTCTCCAGAGTGAGATGTTGAATACTAGCCTTGGGTGAATGTCAAAACTCACATTTAAGGAACAATGCATACTGCAGGAATTAAGCTTAATTCTGAAAGCTGCATTGTGAGAAGGGAATGATTTATGTGCCTTCTCTTGGCCACAGTGCCAATGTGTCTGTAAGATGGAACCTGTAGTCTAATGAATGACACTTGACATTACAGTGTCTATATTTCAAATATGTTTTTATTTGAATAAATATGTCCCTACCACTAAAAAGAAACCAAAGGGTCTGGAAAAACCAAATGCGTTGCATATTTTGATTTTGTCAGTGTCAATCAAGAACATACTTTCGGTAATGCATAATTTTGCAACAGTTCAAATTAAGTAATGTAGAAAAGATGGATACAGTCCAGGACTGAATTGGTCAACATTTTCCTCCAAAAATGCCCTGATTGCCTAATGGAGCACTCTTACTCCTGGGGGTAGGGGGAAGGGTAGGAAGGGGTCTACTATAAATTTCACTGTCTATGTCATAGTTTAGCTGTGTTTACAATGATATTGAATTACTCTAAAATATTTTATCTTACTTGACTATGCTCCTCTAAATTTTTCAATAAAAATTCAAGCTCCCATGAAGATGGGCCATGATTATCCTGCATCTTCTTTTGCCCTCTGCCCACCATCACTGCCACCCAGTTTGAGAAACATGAATTTAGTATATGTGTGGAGCTCATCAGAAACTTCAGAGAAATGTCCTAAAATGTTTTTAAAAGGTCATATAATCTCCATGAAAGAATGTGATGTGGTTCATCTCTATGTTTTTGGAAGAGAAGATAAAAAGTAAATAGCTCTCTCTCCATATATTTTTAACACATAGTAGATATTATTATCTGCTACTGCTTCAGAACGGGTGTCTGAAATTGTGTTCCTAAGAATTTTTTGAGCCAAAGTTCAAGCCAAGACAGACAATTACAGCAACCTGCCTCAGTTCTGATTTAACATCATATTAGGTGATGTCTGATTAAAGTACTAAAATTGAACTCATCTTGATTAGATGTCTCTTTGACTTCTGCTACTGGTACTAGTGGAAACCCAGGCTCAGAACTGGAGAGTCATGTTTTTTCTGCTCCTTTATTCAGTTAAGGACCAAATTGTGCAGATTCTGCCTCTGCAGTGTCCCTTCCTTGCTTTCTTTTTTTACTACCTCCAGGAAGTGGACCTTCCTTAGTTACTAGACTAGCCACTCCTAAATGCTATTTCAACTTTCTCTTCTACACTACTACAATCTATCCTTCCTGTTATGGACATACTCATCTTTCCAAAGCCTAGATCATAGCAAATCATTCCTCACTGAGGAAAAAAAAGCAAAACAAAGTCTTAGCAGTTTTTAGTAGCAAACTAGGTAAAAATTGCTCCTGGACTATAAGACATGCTTTCTAAATTACCCCTATTTTTTTCTTCCATAGCTCCCTGTTTAAGTAAATTTTGACTTCTTGTTTCTTAAGCATGCCACACATTAGCCAATGTCTTTGCCTTTCCCTCCTGGGATTTCTACCTGTCATTTTTCTATCTCCTTGAGTTATATCCAATGTGAATATCTTTGTGATTATCTTTGAAGTGCCACCTCTATAACTGTCAATTTTGTTTTTTTTTATTTCAGCATATTGCGGGGGTACAAATGTTTAGGTTACATATATTGCCTTTGCCCTACCCGAGTCAGAGCTACAAGCATGTCCATCCCCCAGACAGTGTGCATTGAACCCATTAGGTGTGAATGTACCCATCCCCTTGTCCCCCTCCCACCTGCCCCACACCCGATGAATGTTACTACTGATCTGTGCACGTAAGTGTTGATCAATTAATACCAATTTGATGGTGAGTACATGTGGTGCTAGTTTTTCCATTCTTGGGATACCCCACTTAGTAGAATGGGCTCCAGCTCTAGCCAGGATAATACAAGAGGTGCTAGATCACCATTGTTTTTTGTGGCTGAATAGTACTCCATGGTATACATATACCACATTTTATTAATCCACTCATGTATTGATGGGCACTTGAGTTATTTCCACATCTTTGCAATTGTGAATTGTGCTGTTATAAACATTCGAGTGCTGATGTCTTTTTTACAGAATGTCTTTTGTTCCTTTGGGTAGATGCCCAGTAGTGGGATTGCTGGATCAAATGGTAGTTCTACTTTTAGCTCTTTGAGGTACTCCAGATTGCTTTCAATAGAGGTTGCACTAGTTTGCAGTCCCACCAGCAGTATATGAGTGTTCCTGTCTCTCCATGTCCATGCCAACATTTGTTATTTTGGGACTTTTTGATAAAAGCTATTCTCACTGGAGATAGGTGATATCTCATTGCAGTTTTGATTTGCATTTCCCTGATGATTAGAGATGTTGAGCACTTTTTCTATAGCTGTCCATTTTCTATACTAAAGTCTCTGCTTTAACTCAGGTACAGTGCCCAATAACTTTTTATCAAAGCAAGCTAGATTGAAAAATGATTTAATTTTTTTTAGCATTCATTCAAAAAAATTTATTAAATGCTTACTGCGTACCAGGATCTCCACTTAGAGGTGGGCATACAAATTCAACAAGGGATTTGGTCACAGAACATAGAAATACCACTACAGTATTTTCTGTATACTTTCCAGAAAGCAAGAATCAGTGCTTCACCATTTTATGAATAGTCAACACTTTGCTCTATTTGTTCTAGGAATGCAATGTTGTCCTGGAGATTGGCTACATGAAAGGATTTTTCCCCGTGTATAATATTAATTAGCCCCAAGAATTTTAGTGATATATGAGTTAATAGAATATTATTATCGTGTATTGACTCTGGGGAGAGTGTTAGCCTTCCACTCTGAAGAGAAGATGCTTTTAGGAGTCCAGGAGTCAATCTGTCAATGGCAAAATGTCTAAGCTGGCCATGGTATGGTAAAGTGTAGAGGGAAAGAAGGCTTTTAGGGAACTTGATATAAATTTAATTAATCCAGCCTGAATGAAAAGAGTGGCAACTCGAGCTCTTCCTCAAGGACCACCCACGAATACAAATAGATTGTATTCAAATTCATCAGCATTTAAATCTGGAAATAATTTTTCTGAACACAATCCATGTGATATCTGCCACATACCTATAATTGCACATGAGACTAAGGGAGTAGCACGAAGCATTTGTAAAGAAAAAGTAATGTCTTAGAGTTTTTTTCTCCAAATTTTGACACCTTAGTAATCATGTAATAACTATCGCAATCAAAGAGCTAACTAAAGAGAATATCCATTGTTATTTTCTGCAACTTATCTTTTTTATCAGCAAATGTTTTGTTAATACTATGGTTTTATGTGTGGAATACTAAGCAGAGAAAGAAGTATCAGCTCAAGGAATCTGCCACCAGTTGCCATAGAGAATAGACAAAAAGAAAAAAAAGAGCAGTTTTTTTTAATGCTTCAGATAATACAATACGATTAGATTTCTTTTCAGTGCTTCTGATTACATAACTTTAATTTGTTGCACTGATGCTTAATTTTAGATCTAGCTTTTTATTACATTTTGCCACTGATGCCTAGTGGGTTAATTCCCACCTCCTTTCCTTTGTTCTAACATAAAAATTTATTGCTTTCAGACCAAAAAAATACATAGTATCACCCTCTATTTTTGCCTACCTGAAGAATTAATATAAAATATTAAAATATCTGTTGCCTACAATACACTAAAGAATCTAAAGTTGAAGATTGCTGAATATTTTCTATTCAAATTTATATTCCTGATAACTTTAAAGGACACAATAAAATATATATCACATGTTAGGTTATGACAATGGAGCTGCATCAGTATTAAAATTTGGTACTTAATCATCCAGACCAGATTCTTTACCATTACTTTGTATCCTGTAGTCTGAATTGTTACTAAAAACAAAAACAAATACAAAAACAAAAGCAGCTCTCCTTGGGCTCTATTCAGGGTAAAACCATTTTTGACCATTGCAGTAAATAAAAACTGCGAGTCTCATTTTTGATACATGATGTACATTGTAGAGCTACAATATTCATCTACATAAACAAAATGATTAAATTACAATTTTCCATGTTCTGGGAGGTTTCTGTAATTTTAGGAATATCAGTTAAGAGTATTGAGTTCTATGTATGTGTCACAAGGGTACAAATGTGCTGGAGAAATTTATAATGTATTATATCCAATTATGTCTGCACACTATGAATCATATACAATTATCAAGATGTATAAGTGCATTTTATATGATGCGTAAACATCATTAATTTTGTGTTTAGCTTAAGCTGCTCAAATGGTATGATTTCAGTAATTTCCAGCATCAATATAAATTCAATGTAAATTGGAAAATGAAAATTTTCATCTTGTTTTATCTATGAAAAGGCATTTACCAAACATAGCAACATATTGAATCAACACTTGCTAGGAATCTGAATATACCACACAGAACCTAAACGATAGGAATCAGAACACTAGATAAGAAGTTCCCAGAGGAAGCCTAGATAACCAGCCTAAGGGTGCTCACAGGATCTGATTTCTAAAGGTAGTTACTTAAGTAAAACCAAGAAAACTGTTTTAAATATAAAAATCAGGAAGCCAACATTCTTACCTCGCAACAAAATAAATTGCCCACTTATCAAAGCATTTATAAAGTAGATCCCTTACTAATCCCCCAAAATCTTAGTTTCATATATACTTAAAGCAATTAAAAATTTAAAAATTTTGTCTACAATGATATGATTTTTAATTTAAAATGTTTGACTTATTAATTAAACTAGTACATAGTACCCTTACATAGCTGCATAGAGTAATATGTTTAAGTAATTATATATGCATTTTAATTTCAAGTAATTAAAATCATAAAATAATTCATAGAAACTTACCTCAAAGTCAAGGTCTGAATATCGTGATTTTCTTCTCTGTTAGGTATTTTTTAAAAAAGAAGGAGAAAAACCAATAACGTTATGTTTAGTCATTCAAACAAAATGCAAATCATTATTTTCAGTAAAGATAATCCTGCTGCTTTTTGTTATACATAGGAATATGTGAAAAGTTTTATAATTTCAAAATATTCCATCCACATTTTTCCATTTTCACTTCGAATTTCTTTTAAAATTGAGGAATATAAAAATATAGAATATTTCTCATCTTGACCTCTTAACTCTAATTTTCCGTTAGGAGAGATTGTTCTCATGAAAATTCACATAAACATTTCAATCTTCAAAGAGACTTTAGGTCTATTAATGCAAAACTACTTTACAAACACAGAGAATTATAAATTGTATAGGAAAAAATCATTGAGTTACCTCAACACCTCCCACCAACCAATCATTAGTCTTCATTTCTACCAAATTCTACCTGGTAAGTCCCAAAGTTCTTTGTAAGTCTCAGCCACAAATTTCTTGAAATTTGATAGTCCTCCATGATAGGAAAGTCTTTCTCAATGTTAGCCCTTAGGAACCAATGTATTATTTCTAATTAAGCAAAACAAAAAATATTTCACACTCCAGAAAACACAGATATACATGTAAATGTCTCATAGTGTTCCTCTATGGCTCTGACTTTGTTATACAGTTCCTGAAATCTAGTCATAGATGAAAATGCATTTAAAAAATAAAATAATGAGGCACTATGCCTGATAAAATCAGGAAACAGGACAAAAATGAAATTAATGCAATCTCAGATGATAAGATGTTCATGATATTGGTATAAAGAAGATATTCTCAGCAAATTTCTAATACAGTTTTTTTTTTTAATTTGGCTTTTTTTTTGGTAAGAGAGGGAATAAAACACAGGGAAAATTAATAAATAATTAAAACAAGTAATGTTCAGGCTGTGAAAAATACGTAAATCTTTGGGCAACTATTTGGTTTTATTCTCCCCCCTGCTCCCATCTCAATTCCTACAACTCTGACTTCAATAACTTAATGGGGAATCATACCCAAGAGAGGTAGGAAACTCTATTCTCTGTTGTAACTGTTGAACATTAGGAGAGACAGAAAAGTACTAATGTATTTTCTTGAAAAATATGATTAAATTTCTGCAGCTAGAGTTCAAATTGTCATTATATAACCAGAGCCGCCCTGTGTAACCTACTCCCCAAAACATGTTTCAGTAGACAGAAGGTGATATACCAAAAGAAAGGTTTCATTTTTAAAAGAATGTTAAAGTTCAGAAATAATTTTATTTTGGTGAAACTGCTTAAGATTAAAAATTTAGTCTTCAAGCACAATCAAGGAGGGGGCGAAGGGGAGACTTCTTTGTTAAATGGCAACTCAGCATGTTGATCTCACTTTCTCCTGGTCTCCAACATCACCCTAGCCTTGCCCTAGTGACGTCTGGGAGAAAGAAAAGTGTATGGGAACGCATTGGACCCTGCCCTCCTCTGCCTTCTCCCTGCCACTATTGTCATCTAGCTGTGCTGTATAAAAACCAAGCTCCAATGTATTTTAATATATCCAAACCACACTTTGGTGCAATAAGCTAGACTAAATGTCAGCATTTCCAGTCTGCTCTTGGATGCCTTGCCTTCTTGGTACTGTGACTCAGCAGGACACTTTTGTCAGTATACTTTAAGCAAAATTCTTTTATATGGCAAAATTCAGGCCTGGAAAAAACTTATTTTTAAGCAATTATTATTAAGCATTAGTCATGACCTTCACATTCCATTTGAAAATTAAATAGTGAAATCTTTATGAAAAAGGTTCAGCTAGCTAGAAGAGTAAGAGGCCCTTCTACTACATGTATTGAGGCGTTCTCTCTTGCCAAAGGTGATACTAGCCATATGTTTCCCTGTTTGTTTCTGAGTACAAGGCTGGGTTGCCTAAGAAGTGGAAATGCTGATAGATAGATACATATTGCTAAAGGCTTCATATTTTATGAGCAAGGGCAAAAGATGGGAACCTAGAAGAACACCAGAGATAATTTCTGCTTCTGAGAGCAGATGTCACCCTATGTTAATGTGAAATATGGAATGCAAATGGATACACTCCTACAAATAGATCACGCTTGCTCTCTTTCCTATTTAATTTTATTAGAATTAAATTCAAACATAAAGTATAGCAGAACTGACAGTCTTGAAAAATTGGACTAAGGAATGAACAAATGAAGCAAGCAGATTTTAATCAAAAGAGCCTAAAGATGGTGGTGAGGGTTGGGGTGGCTGAGAAATAAAGCAATAAAGACTTAAAAATTAGAATGGAAAGTTTTGTGGTGGATTTTTAGAGTCCAAGAAAGTTAAAAATTTATGTAATGTTATTCACGCTCCCACAATACTGACCAAGTGTTGGCGTCATCATAGCATTACTGCAACTTCAAACTCCCAGAGTCAAGCAATCTTCCTGCCTCAGCCTTCTTAGTAGCTGGGACTACAGGCATGCCAGGATGCCCAGTTAATTTTTCTATTTTTTTGTAGAGGCAGGGTCTAGCTCTTGCTCAGGCTGGTCTCAAACTGTTGGCCTCAAGCAATCCTCCTTCCTCGGCCTCCCAAAGTGCTAGGGTTACAGGTGTGAGTCACCATACCCGGCCAACATTTTATTGTTTATAAAGTGCTTTCATCCCTGTGGGATGGTCAGAGAAAATATTATTTATTTTTCCTATTCTATGAATGAGGAAAACTGAGGGCCAATGGAGTTAGAATGACTGGTCCACTTCACCTGGGTCATAAGCAAATAAGCTGGGATTCACACTCAGCACTTCTGACTTTAAACACAGCATTTTTTCCACTATCTCTTGCTATCTGCTCAGTGATACAAGGGTGATATTTTACAGCCAAGATGCCTATAATATTTTGTTGAATGTTACTAGAATTCAGCTAGAATAACATTAGATGATCCAGTCAGTCCAAAGCTGACAGCAGTGGGGCTGAGGTGCTTTCTAAGCACAAAGAAAGGTCAAGCAGATTAACTGTTACTTGCAAACTGTATTTTGAAGAAGGAAAAATTATCAGTTTGATATTCACGTATTTGAGAGAAAAATCTGTGTTGAGTAAAATAACTTAAAAATCATTCTGAGATAGGGTAGCTTATGAGCAGTGATACAATAACAACTGAAGCAAACTTCTCCATCTCCAGATATGACTCTCTCATTGCAAAATCTAGTTTATCTTAAAGAAAGTTCAGGCATTGGGCAATTGGTAATGTACGAGAAAAACCAGAATATTCAATTCTGTTCAGTTTTGGTCTGTTTCCATCCTTGGTATACATGCAGTGTACTGGAAAGTCTTTCAAAGTATTAAGTTTGTTGAAACCATGACTGACTTACATGTTGATTCAAATTTCCTTCTGAGCTCTTTGGAATGCTATTGTAAGGTATGAAAGTGGTCAGAAATAATAGTTGTATGTTTAAAAAATGAGAATAAACTGAGAAAAATGATAAAGCCATAACAATTTTTTCTGATAAGTTGATAACTGAAAAAATGCTACATGTTAAATTTAAAATAAGCCAGAGTGATACTGAAATATTTTACAAAGATATAAATCCCTCTGGCTATTTATCTCTAATTTTCCAAATTACTTGAAACAAATAATCCTTTTTCCCATAATAGGTGATGTTTTGCTTATGCTGTTTCCTCTTCTTAATTTCCCACTTAGAACTCACCCCAACTTGTACTCTGTTCTCAACACTCCACCAAAATTCTTCTTGTCAAAGGTATCTGATGAGCTCTGTCTGGTCAAATTCCAAGGTCGATTTTCTGTTCTCATCTTATTGGACTCTCAGAAGCTTTTAAAAGTTAATAATTTCCTCATGAAAACACTCATTATCTCTCTCTCTCTTTTTCTTTTTCCTTTCCTATTACTTGCAGTAGCTCATTCTCACATCTCCTTTGTTGGCTCTTTCTCATATCCCTGCCTTCTAAATGCTGCCTTCCTGAGCTCTCTTCTTTCTCATATTCTCTCTCATATAACATAGTTCCTTTTCATGATTTTAAATACCATCTTTTAAAGTTCCAAACATCCTTTTCTTCCTCCTGTCTTTCCCATCATAGACAATGTTGGATATCTCGTTGGTCGAGACAGAGACTTAGGAATCACCTTTCATTCCTTTCTGTCTCTCACCCTCCACATCAAATTCACCAGCACATGTCCTGTCTGCTATCTCTGAAATAAATCTGGATCTGCCCACTCCTTTCCATTTCCACTTTAGCCTCTATAGTCAAAGGCACTCTCATCTCTTGTTTGGATTACTTTAGTAGCCTCTTGTCACCCAGCTTTCTGTTCCACCCCATCTTCTACAACCATTGGCTCTAATCCTTTCTCTTTTAAATAACCAAGTGATGGATGAACGGAAGCGTGGATGGATGGGTGGGCAGGTAGATGGAGAAATAATTTTGACAATCTTTTGCTTAACAATGCCCATTTGCTTCCATTGTTTTATAAGGGCTCTGCAAAATCTGGTCTCTTCTTTCTAGTCTAACTTCATCTTAAGGAGCTCTCCCCTGGCTGTGCAGGTCTTTGGAGCCTATGAGAATATGCAAAGATCTTTCTTACCTTGGGACCTCTGCACTTGCAGTTTCTTTTGCCCGAAACATTCCCTCACTCCCCAGCTCCTTGACAGCCATGTTCCTTTTCAACTTTATTTCTTACACTAAATAGCACTTCCAAAGTCTTCCCAGATCACCTTATTTAAAAAAGTCTCTCTGGGGTGCAAAAATATAGTTAGATAGATAGAATAAAAAATATTTGATAGCACAACCAAGTGACTATCATCAACAATAAGTTGGGGTACACTTTAAAATGACTAAAAGAGTGGAACTGGAATGCTCGTAACACGAAGAAATGATAACGCCTTGAGCCGATGGATACCCCAATTACGCTGATTTGATTAATACACGTTGTATGCCTGTATCAAAACATCATGTGTTCCCTATAAATACATACAACTATTACATACCATAATAGTTAAAAATAAAAAATAAAGA